TTGTTCCAGTTTTGAATTTTGGCCCACTGTGTATTTGAGTTTGACACCCCTGCTCTACACCATTGCAACTATTAGGGATCAGAAACGGCTGCATTTTCAAATATTATGTTCAAGACACTGTAAAAAAAAAAACATTAATTGATTAAAAAGTAAATAAACCAACAGAGTCGAACCTGCTAGATTAAGCATAAAAATCCTGACATGCAGTTTGTATTGCATCCCATTGTGTTTATTTTTCTGTCAATGTTTGCTTGTTAATCCTCTGGAATTCTCCCCAGGCCTTTGGAGCAGACAGACCTGGGCAGGGATTCACTGACCAGCTGCAAGTGATTACAGGCGGTATTACAGTAGGTCCAAGTATGAGCACTGGTTATGTTTGACCTTGAGGTCCAGGCTCTTGGGCTGTCTTGACCTCTATTTTAAGAACATGAATTTTGTTTTTTCTCTCGTCTCTTTTAGTTATCATCACTATCTCACTGTTTAACTTTTCTATTCTTTTCTACTTCTTCACTCGACTTCAAATTTTCCCATTTAGGCCTAAAGCTTGATATATGCCAGTGCTTTGGATTTTACACCATAGCACATGTGTTAGCGTGACATAAAGCTTTCCAGTAAAGAACTACAGACCTACTTGCTTTTAATGCTATTGCAATAGCCAATATTTTGCGAGTGTAGACAACTGCTGTTTCCTTGTTTTCACAGCACTGACAGAATCTGTTCTGAAGCCTCTCCTTATCGCATTTTATTAAAAGTGATTATTGTTCATGGTGTATTCCCCTCAGCATGGTCTGGTCAGTTTCACTATTATAGATTTAACTGAACACTTGTCTGCATTTGTAATTGTACACTGGTGTGCTCTAATCCAGTGTACAATTACAAATGCAGACAACAAAGCTGAGAAGTCGAGATTAACCCATCCCCAACCACAACCAGGTGCTTTCAGCTGTTGGATTGACCCGAAGCAATTCTCCCATTTATCATTTATCATATATCTATCTACAGTAGCTTGTGAAGCCTTGTGGATGGGCCTGTGTCTAGAATCCAACTGGGATGTGTCATGAAACCTAAATGTGTTAACTACGAGCCACTATCCCATACCTGACTCATGGTTTATGTTATAATCTACTTCAAAGATACTTATTTACTGTAAATGCGAGTGAAGGGAGGACGCCTTCAAATGTATTTGACATCAATATTTTTTAGCATCTACAACATTGTAGCTGCATTTTCACCATTAATAGGTATATCAAAAATTTTATGTTTTTAACTACCAGTTAATACAGTATAATCCATGTACTATTGCATTATATTGCATGTGTTAGAGGTCATTCAAGTCTTGTACAATTTGTCATGAACCCACTTTGAAAAAAACAGAACGAATACAATGTTGTGCAACAGCTTAATGAGATTTTATTAGCACTACAGGTTGTAAATAGTGATAGTTGAGGGGATCTAAAACACACAGCAGACAAAGGGGTTTCTGTTGACTCCAAAG